GGGGGGGTGAGGGGGGTGGAGGGGGGGATTTTGGGGGAGAAAAGGGGGGTTTAAGGGGGAAAAGGGGGGAGAAAAGGGGGGAAAGGGGGAGTGGGATGAGGGGAAAGGGGGGTGAAAGGAGGAAAATAGGGGGATAAAAGGGGGATTTGGGGTTAAAAGGGGGATTTGGGGTTAAAATGAGGAATTTGGGGTTAAAATGGGGGATTTGGGGGAAAAGGGGGGGGTTGGGGGAAAAACAGGGGGTTTGGGGGAAAAAAGGGGGATTTGAGGGGAAAAGGGAATTCGGGATTAAATGGGGGATTTGGGGGGTAAAGGGAGAATTTGGGGTTAAAGTGGGGGATTTGGGGGGTAAATGGGGGATTTAGAGTTAAAATGCGGGATTCGGGGTTAAAATGGGGGATTTGGGGGGTAAAAGAGATTTTGGGGGAATTTAAGAGAAAAAAGTGAGAATTTGGGGTTAAAATGGGACATTTGGGTGGGTAAAGGAGGGTTTGAGGGACAAAAAGGGGAATTTAAGGTTAAAGTGGGGATTTGAGGGGGAAAATTGGAATTTAGGGTTAAAATGGGGGATTTGTGGGAAAAAGTTGGAATTTAGGGTTAAAATGGGAGATTTGGGGTGGAAATGGGGGGTTTGGGGTTAAAATGGGAGATTTGGGGGTAAACGGGGGTTTTGGCGGAAAAACGGGGATTTGAGAGAGAAAAGTGGGAGTTTGGTGTTAAAATGGGAGAATTAGGAAATAAAGGAGGATTTGGGGGAATTTGAGAGAGAAAAGTGGGAATTTGGGGTTAAAATGGGAGATTTGGGGTTAAAGTGGGGATTTGAGGGGGAAAAGTTGGAATTTGGGGTTAAAATGGGAGATTTGGGGGGTAAAGGGGGATTTGGGGTTAAAATGGGGGATTTGAAAGGAAAAAGTTGGAATTTAGGTTTAAAATGAGGGATTTGGGGGGTAAACGAGTTTTTTGGGGGGAAAATCAGGGATTTGAGGGGGAAAATTGGAATTTGGGGTTAAAATGGGAGATTTGGGGGGTAAAGGGGAGTTTTGGGGGGAAAACGGGGGGTTTTGGTGGAAAAGAAGGAGATTTAAGCCACAATAAAGGGGGATTTTGGGGAGGGAAAAGTGGATTTTTAGGGTGAGAAATGTAGATTTTGGGGCTGAATAAAGGGGTGTTTCGGGGTGAAAAATAAAAATTTGTGGGGAAACGTGGATTTTTGAAATGAGAAAAGTGAATTTTGGGGTGGGAAACGTGGATTTTGGGGCAAAAAAGCGGGATTTGGGGCCGAATAAAGGGGCGTTTTGGGGTGAAAAATAAAGATTCGTGGGGAAACGTGGATTTTTGAGGGGAGAAAACTGAATTTTGGGGTAGAAAATGTGGTAAAAAAAGAGGATTTGGGGCTGAATAAAAGTGTGTTTTGGGGTGAAAAATGTGGATTTTGGGCGAAAAACTGGATTTCGGGGTGGGAAAGGCAAATTTTGGGTAAGAGAAAAAGTGGATTTTGACGTGACAAATGTGGATTTCGGGGCAAAAAAAGAAGATTTGGGACCCAACAAAAGCGGGTTTTGGGGCTGAAACATCGAGATTTGTGGGGAAAGGGGGATTTTTGAGGTGGGAAAGGTGGATTTCGAGGGGAGAAAAGTGAATTTTGGGGTGGAAAAGGTGTTTTTTGGGACTCACTTGCACTCGGCCTCGGCGTCGGCCTTGGCTGTGGTGTAGAGCCCCCGGAGCTTGGTGCGGTAATAGGGGGAGACTGGGGGGGTCCCAGGGGGTCACGGGGGGCCCCAAAAACCAACAAAAATCCCCCATTTTCCCCCCAAACCCCCCTTTTCCCCCAAATTCCCTCCTTTTCCCCCCAAATTCCCCTTTTTCCCCTCCAAATCCCTCTTTTCTCCCCCCAAATCCTCCCTTTTTCCCCCCAAACATCCTTTTTTTGCCTCCAAATCCCCCCTTTTTCTCCCCAAATTCCCTCTTTTTCTCCCTAAATCCCCCTTTTTTCCCCCCAAATCTCCCCTTTATCCTCCAATTCCCCTCTTTATTCCCCAAATTCCCCCTTTTTCCCCCAAAAGACCCCCC